ACGGAAACGTATGGCCGAAAGAATAATTACATGCAGAATAATAAGGACTGAGTGGATCTACAATATTGCAAATACTGAGTGATCTGCACCATTGAGAACGACTTTGAGCCATACTGGCTACAGTCTCCAGGCATTGGTTATTATAGCCTTAAGAACCTCAGACAGGCAATCTACAGTCCTTAATACGACAAAGTTCCCACCCTGGTTTACACTTAAAATAGACTTTTTCGGAGATAAAGCTTTGTCATCTCATCAATATAGTACCAAAGTCTGGAAAATCCTCAGTGAACTAAATGAATTAGACTGAATACTAATAAGTTGAAGGAAAACGAAGAGAACTTTCCAAATAGGACGGAATGCGCATCCTGGATTTCACTGCTAGTCACCACCAACCAATTGACTTCGAACCTTCTATACATTTATGAAACATTCTCTTACTACTGATTTATATTAAGTAGTGTGAATGTTTAACACAAATTGAATCGGACTTTCGAACGCAGTCTGTATTTTCAGAAATCAAAAAACGAAAATTATTTCTAACACTTCCTTAGAAATAGAATCTGTTGAAATTTATTAATAACTGTATATGGAAGGAAGGAATTTTTTCCAGTTTATAAGATTTATGCTTCACTCTCTTCTAAGAAACATTTCAACAAACCTAGCGATTTAATTATCATCGAGAAACGATATGGTGTAAGAAGTTTATCGCAGAAGATCATGACATCATGTTACTTACTAAAATTGACAACACTGTGTGATTTTCGCCGAAAGTATCCAGAAGGGAACTCTTAACACTTGCTGTTGTGGTTACCAATAGATAATTTCAGAATGTAAGCAATTGAGCTTTATAACTTCACATCTCAATCGAAATATTTCAATTCATGGTCAGAAATATAGGTGGAAAGTCCAAATTCCTGTTAAAATGCTGGCATAATAAATGTTATGTGAATATTTCGAAAATTACAGGCAGAAAAATTCTGTTGCTTCTGCGAAACTTATTTTAGTAATCTATATCAATTAAACATTAGACCAAGAGAAATGTTGAATTTCAAAGTAATTCTCAAAGCGCACTAAGGAAATTCACTAAACAAATTAAATAGAAATGTTTACTCGATATCCTAAGGAAATAAAGACACCGAATCTTTGAAATGTGAGCAATAAGGCTGGATAAATAATAATAAGAGTGAATACCACTTCAGTCAAATGTCAATTTTGAACAGAGGAACAACAACACATTGTTGCGGAATAACAGGGATGCATGGTATTTCCATTGGTTGTTGTTAGCCGCGTATAACCTCTAACATTTGATAAAACAAGTTGTAACAAAATTTAAACACACATTTGTTTCTTTCAGTAGTCATTTCCCCAAAAGCGACTGTTATAAGAAAGTCACAGTGAAACCAAACATAACTTATCTCAAAGTACATTATACATATACGTTTTAGAATTCCATTCTGTATCACAAGTATTGTTTTGGAATAAAGCAAGTTATTATTATCATTATTATTATGAAACAAAATATAAAATAAACTAAAAAAGACAAAATATGGTAGAAAAGAACGTTTTCGAGTGCACTGTTGTTTCCAATAACTTCTCATTCAGCCTCTACAGTTATAAATCCATTAAGGGTTAGAATACAACAGCCAGTAAAAGTAAATAAAATTTATGCCAGGAATTGTATTGAGGTACAAATTAAATATGGAATCATAAGCCATGCGTTTGGATCTATATTTAAATGCATATAGAAAGTACACCTGTTAATAATATCTGTTCCTATCCTTCAACGGTCATCCAGTGTTTACTTACTTTACTTCGGCTATTTCCTACGGGAGGATGAGTCGGCTTCATGAACATCTCGAATCATCGCTGCCCAGGCGCGGCGATCTGATGCAAGGTTTTGCGACAGGGTTATCCAGTTCTTGTTCCACAGACGGAGTCCGTAGACGATTTGTAGCCCCAGGCACTCCATATCAGCCTTGACTGTACCAAGCCATGTTTTCAGCTGTCCACCCCTGCGACATCGCCAAGATGGAAATGGCGATGGATTTAGAACTGATTTGACCAGATCATCATCTGGTCGGCGCAGAACATGGCCAAACCACCGAAGGCGACGTTGTTGGACCACTACTGGAATTTGGTTGATGTTGTAGAGAGTTCATGAAGTTTCATGGGAAATAGGTACGAGTGATGTCCCCAGCATCGCTCGGCCTTTTGTTTGAGAGTGCAGCCCTAGCCTTTACACAACCAAGTGTGACCTACAAGGCAGTAGGAGTGGAGTAGGGAGTCCACTATCCATTGGCAGCCGGTGACCGGAGTCCGGTTCATATGCCTTTTTGAATGGGGCCAGACATCCAGGGCATCCAATAAGCCATTTGTCCATACGTCTGCCGGTGAGCTTCATACGCCAGTCGTTGGAGGTTTGGAATCAGGATTTAGCCACCTCCCCTAGACTATCATCCAATGGACAGTCAACCCGGTGAAGAGTGCCGGGCACTCGCTTTTGCCCTCTCACTTCGGTGAAAAAAAACACCTCCGCCACGCGAAGGCAGTGAGTAGGACTTTTTCAGGAGAGGCTCTGTAAGACGCCCGGTCATATGGGAGCATTTCAAGAGGTGTGCGGAGGGGTGGCCAACCCGCAGCGCAAGGCACCCACCCCGACCATCCTGAGGCTTTGGAGGCTGTCCAGTGTTTACCCTGAAACTAAAAGACGCCTTACCTAATCTTAACTCACCCTAGTGCATATGCCTCTTTAACTATGTGTTTAGTCCAAGTTATGTTGGCTGTACAATTAGGCGGGTACATCTACGTTTTCGAGAACATTTACCACCCTGGTTTAGAAAGGATGAAATCAATGTATCGGAATCTCAATTCAATCAAATGTGGTAGATACAGGACACTGTATTGACGATAACATCGTCTTTAGAGTTATAAGTCGCATTTCAAATTTACACTCAAGCAGAGTTTGCCCATGTCTACTATGTATATAGCTTAAACTTTTGCAATAAAACTGACTAAAAACGGATTTTGTATCCAAAAACACTACGTTTAAGCGTTGTTCTGCCTTGGTCAAACTTCAATTAAAAGCTCTTCTCACTTCCAAGAGTATCCTTTTTTCCGAACATCTGCAAACGTAGACGAAACCACTGTCCAGTAATCTCAGATTTTTAGTGGTTCTCTAACTGAACCTGAAACATCTCTTTTTTGTTTTGTTCATGTTTTAATTCCTTTCCACCTCGTCCTAAATGTTCTAGTCACAACGTTCTGTAATTTACACACTTTATTCCAGCATTTCTCAACACTGAAATTTTCTGTTTATACAATTCTGATTGATTGCTAGTGATATCACCACCTCTTTTGCTTCACGTATTGATTCTACAATGATTGAACTATTCACAGCAGTCTTACAGTGGTGTGTGCTACTGACAAAATTTTGTAAGTAGTATATATATATATTGCTTGCAAGAATATTGAATAGCGGAGAGATCGACTCGACGGCGAAGTGAAGAAATGCAAGATACTCATAAAACAACACAGACAACATGAACAGAAGACAAAAGAAGCACAACATGAATGACAAGTGCACATGGTGATTTTAGCATAATATAGATGTATTTTGCCATATCTGTACATCAAGTTGCCAATAAAGAATTCTTGTCTCAAATACTTTTGTGTTCTGCTGAGACAGATGTCCTGAGGACACTGGTGAGAGGCTGGGCAAAGGCAGGGTAAGATATCGTGGAGTGGCAGGTGGGAAGGAGATCTGGAAGTTATTGATAGGACGACTGGTGGTATAGTTCAACAGTCCAATAGACAGACAGCATGCAGTGCAACAGTTCCTCATCACGAAGATGCAACCAGACTCAGCCCCACTGGTTTTAGTGCTTAAGTGGACAAATCTACTCCGTCGCACACTTCCCACACTCGATGAAGAACTCGAGAAGTGGTTTTTGGCTTCTCAGTTTATTGGGAGTATTTCAGATTACATCTCTCAGCAACTACAACTGGTCAACGCCACACAACCCATATATATATATATATATATATATATATATATATATATATATATATATGGGGCTAGCAAACCGAGAAGAATAATGGGAGACAGTAGAGTGGAATTAGTAGCATTTGCAAGTAATTCGATGATCGGATACGCAGTGTCGCCGTACATCCTCATTAGAGGGACCAGGTTTCATAGGCGTACCACAAAACTACAACCACCGAAGCATTTTAAACTCGACGTTTGACAACCAAACTGACGTTCCGACAGCTGCAGAAATGGTCCTGGTTTCACTATACGGTTAAAGATCTCATCCATCACATATATATATCGGCGTATATACAACTACTTAAATGTACGAACTTGTTGGCTACTTCCAACGGTTTATTTACGAGGGTGAATTTTGGTACAGACTCTAGCCAATCTTGTAACAATTCTATACACTTAGATGGCATAAGACACTGATTAACTGCGATTTGGACGGCACAGTAAGTGCGCATAGGAAAGAGTTAAGAGGCACAATAAATTTGAGCAGAATTAACGTCTACTCACATGTTCATTCATTGTGACCTCATCTCCTCCTCTGAGAGCTAAGTGAATAAACATAAAAGTCGCTTTTGCTAGAACTTAAAAACCAAAGTGTCGAGATTTTTTAAAATTCCATGTATTATTTAAGTTTTCAAATGAAATAAGGCCTAAAAATTTATATGCTAACAGTACATAACAAAATCCTGATTTTCTTGCTTTGAAGAAGATGGTTAAAGTGACACACTGTATACGGTTAAAGGCCGTGTAAAACTCAGTAGTTATGATGAGTTTCAAATCTGTAACCCATTAATCGAGTGTTGGGTTTATTGATCAATGAAGTAAAAATTCCCTGATCTCAACTGTGCACCTCTATGTAAAATGAAAATAAGAGGAACACCGATTTAAATTACTTCGAAGATCACTAACTCGAAATGCCCCCTCCCCAACACCAGCATAATTTAAAAACACGTATGAATGAGGTTACGTTTCATTTAATTCAATATTTAAAACATTTATTTACAACCAGTTACATACGCAAAAGTGAAGAAACTGTTCTGTACAATAGGGCAAACCTATTTGCTTTATATACAAAATAGAACACAAAAATACTGTAGGCAGAGAAAATCGTTAGCTAGTTTTACATTTATGCTTCAATAAAAGCATCCCACTTGTCACCGTTCAGTCCATATGTGATGACACTTCATACAAGAGTATTTGATTGTGCTGGGTTCATCAGCTGAACGAGTTTGCATTTGAACAAAATACGCTCGTGTATGATTACATTTAGGACATTTTTCATCTATTTGAGCAGAGGAGCTGTATTCATCGTCAACAGAGAAAACGGCGTCTTCTTCTAGGCGTAGACGGAGGTCTTGTCTCGGTTTATGTTCCAAAACCAGGGGTTGGGTAACAAACCATCGGTAAGAACAAGTAGGTGCAGAACAATTTAGTGAATAACAATGTGCTGATTCTTCAATCATTAATAAAGAGTGGCAAAGTGGGCAAAACAGAACAGGCATTATTCAATAGATATGAGACAGCGGAAATGCAATATAGTTTCTTTTTAAGGATCCATGAAATACTTTGAGAATAGCTGAAAACAAGAAATAGAGAGAAAAACAAATGTTGTATTATAATGAAAGGCAGGTTGTCTTTTAAATACTTCAACGAACTACAAGTTGCACACTGGGAAACAGTTTATTACCTTTGTGAAATCTTCATTCATATGCAAAGTGAGTAATGAGAACTTCATATTGGTGAGACAGGTAGAAGTAAGCCGCAACTGTCCAAGTACCGTGATATGACGAAGTTGTTCCACCGACAGAAAAAGACATCTGTCGAAAATATGTTAATGGCTTCGAATGAACCAACTTCAGTGGTCATTTTTACTTCTATTGATCTTGTCATAATAACTCAAAGAAAGCAGTTTTCAGTGAGCACCTTATATAAGAGCGTGTTGTAATAACATGGGTACCATGGTAACCTGCACCTTAACACAATAGGTACAGTTCCATGCCTTCTACACCTGAACCATAATTTAATAGAGCAGGTAAGACTTAAAATATAGTATATATTTGTTGGAGTACGTTTTCCAAAATTTATTTAGACCTATAGGTTATGGGCAGTCCGTTAGAGCCCCTTTTAGCAGATATTTATATGTCGTACATTGAGAATTTATCGGAAGATTTAATCGAAAATGTGCCACTTTATAGAAGGTATGTAGATGATATCGTAGTCATCAGTGATAAGCCTTGTTCTGCCACCTCAATTTTAAATCGAATGAATGAAGTTCAGAATAGCATATCACTTACATCTGTAGAAGAGGAAGACAATTGTTTATCTTTCCTAGACATATTGCTTAGTCGACGGCTTGATGGGTCAATAAAAAGATCTATTTATAGAAAACCTACCTGGACAGGACAGTATCTTAATTACCACAGTTTCTGCCCTATTCGGTACAAAAGAGGCTTAGTAAGGTGCCTCTTCAGTAGAATCCGACGAATATGCACTGAAGACACGCTTGATGAAGAAGAAAGAATATTGACACAAACTCTGGTTGATAACAATTATCCAGAAAAGCTCATCAGGAGATATAAAGTAGTCAGAACACCAAGACCCACTTTCCAACTCGCCCATAAGAAAGACGTGTACATCAAGCTACCCTATACGGGACTTCAAAGCATCTTGACAACTAAACAAACGCTGAACACTGATGTTAAAATGACTTTTTATGCAGCTAATATCATAATAATAGAGAATGTAAAGCCATTATATCTATCTAAGCCCTTCGAACATGCGAAAAATGACGTCACATCCCACTGTATTTACCAATTTGAATGTACGTGTGGACACATATAAATAGGGAGGACTCACCGATCTCTGCAAGTAAGGGCTTTAGAGCATATTCCAAAATGGCTCCAGAAACAAATGGAATCTTCAGAACCTATTAACGGTGAGAACAGGAGACCTAGCTCTTCTATTGCGAAACATATTATAGAGACAGGTCAAAAAATTGATGTTAACATATCTTTTAAACCTATCTATAAAACGTGTTTGTTGAAGCCCTAGCAATTAGAAAGTTCAAGCCACCTTTATGCGTTCAAAAACAATTTGTCATCACATTAAACCTTCCTTGGTAAATTTTGTTTTGATACCATAGCAGATGTACTACTTATTACCTCAGCTATTTGGTTTAGTGGTCTTCATTGTTATTTTGACCTTGAATATGTCATTTTAATTGCATATATATTTATATGACAAGTCCGTGTGTGATCAGATTGTTCGAAACGTGTTGCGCACATACATTACACGATTCAGACAAATTACGTCTTCTTATTGCTTTATCTAAATTCATAAAGGGAACTAATTGTTTTAAACTATAGGTTATCACACCTGGTTAGTGTAAAAGTACCAGTTGTGTCAAGTTTTCTCAGACGAGCACATTCTTTGGTTACTTGATGAAAAGGGGAAGGAAGTATCAAATATTAGTGAAAATTCTCAAAAGAAATAACTATTCAAACGATTTCATTACCAAAATCAACACCAATATTAAATATGGTCAGAAAAGTATCCCGTAGACATGGACCTCAAATGTTTTCACTTCAATATAGATAGGATACGTCGGATGATATCAGAAGAGTACTCAACAAACCCAAAATCAGAGTTTTCTTCAAGAAACTAGACACAATAAAAAGCATCCATGTTCAAGTGAGATTGAATTCCAAGGGATTCACAATGTTTTTATAAAATGAAATGCTTAGAATACGTCGTATAAACCTCGCGAGAAATCAAAATAAGAAGAAATGAACACCGTAGAACCCTATATTCGACCACTGAGAAATCCAGTGGAACTACAAAAGCCTGGAAAGGCTTCAACCACATAATCGGGCCACAAAATTGATTCTGACGATATTGAAATCATCCAGAAAGATTTCAAGTCACAAAGAACGTCTCATATCAGAAGCACTACATATTAAATGGAATCCAGATTGTCTGAATAGCAAAGACGGATTATGACAGAATCTGACCTAGTCCTAACACCCAATCCGACCTCATTGAGTGACAAAATCAACGCAAATGCAATAAGCAATTTCACAAAGTAAACACATGCTGTTTTTAAAATTTCATACATCAAATCCAACGATATGAACATGGTTTGTTATCTTTACCAATTCACCCAAATTACATAGTAAATATAAACTCATGATGAAGAACTATGATTAAGTTACTGTAAATAAGCTGAGATTTTTCAAATTCTGATTTAATTTCACTTTAATAAAGCTCTTAGCACTAGATAGCGAAATGCCAGTAGAAGCAATATCATTCTGTTTTCATCCATTGGGAAATACACAGACTTTTATAATAATGAATAACACACACCAAATGCCTAAATTTCTTCAGACTATTAAATTTAAACTTGGTTTGGGTAAACATAATTCAGCATTATGTTGAGCGCGTGTATTTTAAGAAGTATGGGTGTTAAACGTATACCTGAAGAAATTGAAGGTAGAAGCAAAACTGCAGAGTTCCATAAAGGATAGATGACATATCTAAACACAACATATATTTCTTATTCTTTAGACAATGTCATCTTGGCTTTTAGGCAAAACAAGTGTGATTTTTGAAATGGAAAATGAAGGATTCGTTCTCAATCTCACTGTGACTTCAATGAAGATTTCATTTCATCATTCAAATCCACTAGTGTTCGATATTCAGTCACGAGACCTCCTGGACATCTTATTGTAATGTAACTCACAAATGCAAAGCAGTCCCTACGCAAGCTTACGAAGTAGTCATCCCGTTACTTCGTACTTCAGCATGAATTTACTTTTGACTAGCTGTTTAGTTTTTGGGTATATACTTTGGTTGCACGAACGTACGAATTGTAATTTATCTTACTTTTTCAGACGCTACTGTTGTTGTCAAGTCTGCATTTCTATCCCTTATGTGATTAATGCTGATATTCATACCGTAGTTCAGTTGAAAGTTTTCTCTGTGTTTTTGAAGTATATGTTTACAAATACTGTTACTTTTTACAGACGTACCTCTTCCGCATGGAAGTAACATTGTTATATTTCTATTTAATTGAATTACTACTACAGAATTCAACTCGGATAAAATGTCTCGCAATTCAATTGGAGGAAGATGACAGCGTATTTATCATCTTAAACACGTGAGTTATCTGCATACAACAGCGCTACAAACCATTTAGAGCATATATCTGGTGGACAGGATAGTCGGAACCTCCTTTTCGTCTACCTCAGGAGTGGAGTAAGTCAAAATATTTCGAATGTCGCATTTCCAAATACCTATGAGAACTGTCAAAAGTCCCTGAAGTTTTCCAGAAGCTTTGGTCGGAAAATGAAGACCTAGACAGCAATGACCATATATTGCTAATGTTTAGTAGAAGACCTAAAACGTAAGTATCGTTCTCAGTGTTCAAGATACTTTTCAGGGATGGAAAGAAGATTGGTAAGGAGTCTCTTTTTAACTCCATTAAATTAGTAGTAGTTGCCAGCGAAATTGGTTGCAGTCAGCTACAATATTCCGCGATGAGTTTGATGTAAGACTTCGTCCACTCACATCCCCCCCGCAGTTCTAAGGCACCAATTTTAAAAAATGTCATCAATTTTAGGTGCTTCCAAAGCCGCGTGCTTCACTTGTTTCTCTTCAACTGGTACAAATGCGAAAACGACTTTTTGACGATTGGAATTATTCTGAAACTTTGTATACTTGCTCTAGATCGCACTCCAAGGAAGCCAGTAATGAACTGATAACTCTTGTTAGAAAAATGGTCGGTAGGTAGTTAGGACTAACCATTGATTTGAAGATGTGACAATGGAAAACGTCGAATCGATGTTAACTCTAACAGCTAACACTATGTCAAACAAACTTCATAGTCAACGACCACTACAAGTTAAATTTTCTAGTTGCCAATGTGAGTCACTAGAGATAATAGAGGCATTTTTAAGGGACGACAAATATGAAGGGATATTTGTGAGCTCTCCAAATTAATTATCATTTTGTATACAGCCAAAATGGTAAGCAGCCTTCAAAGGTTGGACATATAGGGGACAAAGCTACTATTTCTTACTGTGAAAACTCGGAAGATAGCGTCCATATGTGTATGAGGAAGAAGTCAAGTAATTTCACAATACGCAATGACCTAATTTTAGGAACCATAGTTTATGCAACATAAAATGATTTTTTATTCCCAGGTACTTCAAACAAACATCTCGGAAGCAAACATGGTGGCTATGTAATTTTACCTTTCCGAATGTAACGGTGTTGAATATCTTATAAGCGTATGATTTCATGGACTGGTTTTCAAAATTCCTTACTTGAGGGATATTTTGGTGGACTTTATTAGACTGGTAGATAGAAAAATTATGCACTATTGTGTTTTAAATAAATGTAATAATTAAAACGGTTGATTCTTTAACTGATGCTGAATAACGTCGACAAAGTGCTCTGAGGTTTTTTTCACTTTGACATTGAATATGTGCTTAGGTGTAATTGACATAAGCGAGTCCAAGATATCTGTGATAAAGGAAGATGAAAAGTCTAATTATGTCAATGTCAATCACGAAATGCGTTCCCCTTTATCGAATGATTTACTCAGATAGATAAAAACAATGTCCAATAATAGGTTTTCATCCCTGGTTTCTACCCACTCCTCCCTAGCTAGTTTGTTAGCCAGGATCTCCTTGGTTGAGATCCAAGCTGTTCCTCCGCCAGTACCTTTGCTATAATTCACTTCAAACTTACAGGCAAACAGATACCAATTGCCTGTCCTCCTATCTGTAGATGGGGCTTATAATTGTATCCTTTCAGTCCTTGAGTAACCTAGCCTGAGTCAGATACATTTTAAAAGTCTCCGTGAATGGAATGAATGTTATATCTGCCAAGGGGATTAACAGCCTAGGGTGAAATCCGTCAAGCCCTGGTGATTTTCGGGGCTTCAGTCTAGACAGTAGTTTGGAAAAGAGTGAATCTTCTAATACAATTGAGGACATTTTAGTGGGGATGTTGATGACCTTTTTAAACCCCTAGGTGGTACAATCAAACAAAAATTATCACAAATTATACAGCCTTTGCTTTATCTGATTCGACCACCTCTTCAGTACTGCGTCGGCTGCACAGTGGTTAGGACTCTCACCGACCCTACACATGGTCCGAGGTTCGATCCCCTGCCGACGCACACCTGATATCTATGGTCGGCCTGCAAAATTTGGGCTACCGATATCCATGCTGAAAATTCCATACTTGTACCAAAAATACAGTGTGGAATCAAGCTGTAATCAAAAATGAAAAATTAAAAAAATAATCAGTGACGGTAAACCAGTGCTCATTTTATTCCTACGTTTATTATACGAGTAGTTTTTTTGGGATAATGTACATAGTCCAACACTAAATGTCTCTCGCACTCTACTTGAGTTTTATCAACCATATACTTTAAAAGGTTTCAAATTTTGCAATAGTCTATCCGGAACTCTTCCCTTCTTGTTGCAGTAAACTGGGCCCATAAGCTTCTTTGCTTTTTTAGTAACCTTATTTCACTACTAATCAAATTGTTTTATGCGATAAATTTCGAGACGTAAACCAAAATCAAAAAGGTGAAGCGACACAATCTAGTGTATTCCTAATTCTCACCAAAGATTCCTTGACAGTCCTATTTGTACTAACTGATCACTCAGCTAAGGTTGTTGCTTTTCGGATTGCCGATATATCTGCTTTCCAAATATTTGGAAGAGCAGATGTCGACCTACGCATGAAGTCATAAATCCTAGGCGTAAAAGTAAGGACTACATGGTCCCTACTGCTTAGCAGTGGGAGGCATCTAATGTCGCCTACGTCCTTCTGGTGTATTGACACTAAGTCCAGAGTAGAGGGATCAAGTTAAGGGTAGTATCGTGTTGGTGCACGTACATGCTGCACAAGCGTACATTTGAGGACAGTCAGTGCAAGTTTTTGTTGAAAAACGTACACAAGCTAGTTGATGCTAATTCCTCCCAATTTGTATGTGAAGCATCAAAGTCACCCATTTCCACTACTGCACAGTTTCAGGTCATATAGTACGAAATCATCAGCTTGGCTATAAATAAGCTCAATCGTTACAATGCTATTGTCCAAATTAATTACACTGTTAGTGACTGTTGTGATCGTGCGTATCTGATAACGTTGGTCTAATTCTTATATCGTACCTGGTGTACAGGGCAACCCTACCACCTTTCTGACTAATTACTCTGTCTGCTCTAAAGTAGATCCACTTCAGTAAGAGTGGAGCTAAGTCAACAACCACTAAATAATAAATAAATAATGAACACTAAGTAATAGAAACAAAGGTTGTTGTTTTTCAGATGATACAACGCGTATTCGTACAGCAAGCTGATACACCCACGTATTCATTTGATTTGTAAACAGAGGTCTGATCATAATTTCCGTGATCTTACCACCGGAAAACCCAACAGTTTAAGACCCTTTCACTTTTTTCTAATCGGGCCGTCATATGTGCTACGACTTCCTTTTAATTTTATACTCCGACTGCCAATTAGGCCTTATTCTCAACATTTTAACCCTGATGTTAAAATTGCTGAGAATAATATTCTTCTCTACCTCTGTCTGTCTGTCTGTTTTCGACATAGAACTTTGCACAAATGTGCGGAAGTTCAAGTCGCCACACTCCGTGTAGCACACGAAGCAAGAGAAGAAGGTACAAGAAAAGCATAATAGAGACAGTAAGCAGAGGTGTGAGACAAAGGAGGAGTAATAACGAAGAGCAAAACAGTTTCATTGGAAATCATAAACCACAAGGAGTGGATGCATCTGCGCCAGCCACTGAGAACGATTTTGAGCCATGTCACCAATTGTTTCCAACCATAGATTTTTACCGTCCCGAGGACCCCAACCAGGAAGTCTACACCTTCCTACGTGGCTTAGACCAACTGTTGTGGATTTCATTGACCGCCGCTAGCTTTTTTCCAGCCTGCCCCTATGTTAGCTAACATTGCCGATTGTCGAGGTAGGCGATGACTAGGCATACGTAACACATGTCCTAACCATCTCAGTCTATGTAACTTCACAACCTCGTCGATTGATTTCCCCTGTTTACCTAGAACTCTACGCCTAACCTCCATGTTGCTCACCTTATTATGCCACTTTACACGGGAAATAGAGCGCAGGCACCTATGATCAAAGACAGCTAGTCTTTTCATGTCTTTCACTCTCAGTGGCCAGGTCTCACTTGCAGCCATAAAGGAGGACGGAGCGGACTAATGAGCAGTACACCCGCCCTTTGGTTGATAGTCGAACATCTCGTCTACGCCAGAGTCGGCGTAAACTGGCAAATGCGAAACGAGCCCCTTGTATTCGTGCTGAGATTTCGTCAGAGATTAACCCGTAGGGGCTGATGGTACTTCCCAAATAAGTGAAGCGGTCAACGTGCTCTACCACTTCACTTCCTATTTTTAAACTAGGCGTCGATGTAGTCCAGTCCTGTAACATCATCTTGCATTTGGCGGGAGCGAATCGCATGCCAAACATTCGTAGATTGCGGCTCAAGGTGTTTAGAAGACTCTGCATTTTGTCAGAGTCGTCGCCTAGGAGGACTATATCGTCTGTATATTCTAAGTCAACGAGATTATTTCTTCTCCACCTCGTCCCCTGGTACTTTCCAGAAGTTGTCGAAAAATTCCCGTAGCATAAACACTTCGTTTGTCGATTCTGATGACTCTTCGGCGAAGTACAAGAATAGCGTCCCAGGAGTGCGAACGCTTCATTGACCTTGAAGGCATAATAGTCGTTGACTAACGGTGCCTGTCATTATCATAGCTGAAACATCAACCCTATTCATCAAATAAGGGGCAATTTTCACCCAGATAACGCTTTTAATTACTGTTTCGACAATGTGTCAACATCTCGTTAGGGTTATGATTAGGGTCAAGGTGAGTATTGAGGTTAGGGTTCGGGGTTACGGTCATAATTGGGATTAGGGTTAGATTTACGGCAGGATAAGGATTGTCATTTGGGATAGGATTAAGGTTAGGGCTAGTGTGAAATTTAGGGTTAGGGCCAGGATTAAGGCTAGGATTGTGATTAGGAATAGATATGTCGTTTATTTCAACTTGTTTTATTATCCTCATTTTCCCCGTATGTAGTCGCCAATGCTCTTACTGAAACCATAGTAACTTAACCGAGGGCTTTGGAGAGGACTACACAGCAAGAGAAGAAAGATGAACGATTCACAAAACAGCCAATCTTCAGTCACTTTGGTGAATACATATACAGAAACTAGTCCAACTTGGAGACTGATACTCTTCATCGTAACTGGGACGTATTTTTAAGTCATGTCAGAGAAAGATAACCCGTTTAATGTGTTTTCATGCATTTTCTTGTGAATAAACATCATTTTTTGTGCAAAAATTCCTCATTTCTATGATTGGTTGGCTGAAGGTCACTCGTGCGTTCGCATCCCTTGGGACGCTATTGTTGAACTTTGCCGACTCTTCTTATATAAACTCCATTTTTGTTCAGGAATTAGTTCACGGAAAGCAGGGCCAACTACCTTGAGATCAAGTACGTGTCGAATAACAGGATCTACTTCTTTTGATTTCTTGAAGTTCCACATAATTACACTACAATTAGAGTCCGAAGATTCCTGGTTTTAGTACTAAAGGTCGTAACGATCTTGTTATTAGACCCTGAAATTTTGTCTTCCCAACTTTTTAACTTCCTACTCTTTGGCACTACGCAAATAGTTAGTCTCAACCAGTGTGCTCCCACTGCGAATAGGAGCCATTTGCTTACTGTACAGGCTAAGCTTCTTCTTAGTAGTTTTGCGAGGTGGTCTTGCAATGCTGGTACTCGCTCTCTTAGACTTACGACGTTTTTACGTACCTCTGCAACAGGTTTTGGACAGACTGTCTTTTTAAGTTTAACGCTTCAGTATGTAGTTTCGCCTGTCTTGTGACTCAGTCCAGAATTGCCAATCTTACAGTGATTTTAGACGCTTGCTTGTTTTCCTCATCTAAATCTTTAGTCAGCCCCTTGAACATAAAAGTTCCATGGCCTCTTGAATGAGAAAGTCCAGTGGATTTATGCAGAATTTATATACCCATGGAGACTTGCTTACTACAGTCACTATACGTCAATGGTGCTAAATCATTGCAGACTCTATGAAACCATAGGTTGCAGCTACCACTCTGCGTCTCATCATCCACCAGAAATAGCCGGTCCCGTCATGAACAGTTATTGGTGACACATGTCATGTTGTTTATATTAAACACAATGTGTATCAAAACACAGAATGACATAAAAACTTCACAAACTCACGAAAAAGTGAACAAAGTTCGACCAAGTTAAACTTTAAGCACTAGTAAATATCAACAGAGTGCGACCACTACATCGACTTTGAAACTCTCAGTAGGCAAGTTAGTGCAACCTGGTAAATAGAACTGTAATCATGAATACAGTATTTTAAATGAGTGTAATTAAATGGGACATCTAGCAAGTTTCAGGTTAGGTTTGAAAAAAATTAGGTCAAGTTTTAGGCAAAAAACATGCTGGGGTAAGGTTAACCTAACAACGGCGCCCTTATGGTTGATTAAAGTTATATTTGGCTTAATTTCAAGAAATTTTCACTGTAGGGTAAGAATAAGGAAAAATTAAGGTCTGTTGGGGCTAGATGCATCTATTACTTAGTCATGACTAATTGAATGCATTGAGTGCATTTTAACTGCTCTGTTTAATCTCCAGTCCAAAAGTGAGAGGTAGTTTTGTCAAAATTCAGACAAAGGTATCCTGTGTAGCAGTCTCATGTCTTCTAATCCATTGTAGTAAAAATTTGTATTTCATACGCACAATTAGCCTTTATCTTGTGGTTGATGCATTCAAGGTCATCTTTCCGTTGTTACTTACTTGTGCTTAAGTTTATCTTTGCCCAAAACTTTACTCTTTCACTAATACATTCAGCTTAATTGAACTAAAATGGTAGAACTCACCGCACAACGTGACAACGAAACTCTCACCTTTAGAGGGCGCGCGAGTAGCAGCGCGACCTTCATTATATGTTATTTTCAGTGTATCACCTAATTTTAAGCACACGAACTTCCGTAGAAATCAAAATCTATTTCAAGTTTGGGTGAATTACCGCGAGAGGACTTTTTTCGTTGTTGTATGACCGAAATTTAAGCAAGCCTATATAAAATAAGAGAATGACATGGAACGTACAGCATACATATATATATGTGGGGATTCCTCATGATGGCAGCGAGAGATGACTCCGTCTGAAGTAGACAGTCTGCTTATAAAATAACCAGACAATGGATAGATGAACTGCGAGTTTAGCGCACGAAACTTAAGTCGTTATTTGTTCAGGCAAGCGTAAACTTCACATTTCCGCTGCAACCGTAGAAAATTCTTCAAAATTACAAGCCTGAAGCACACATAGCTAAACACTGGATGCTCAAATTAAGCGATTAGGTGTAATTGTTTATCTGAAGGCTCGCGGTCAACCATAAACGCAATCTGACATACATAGTGTGATGTTATTAATGGTTGACGGATATCTCGTTCAGCAACAATTTATTAATATATTCAAGCGTAACAACGACAAAGCAAAAGCCAATATTTGATCGTCCAAACTACGTGATATATCTAGGGACCAAAACAAACCGTCAGACGAACGCTTAGCTGGCTAGTGATCGTGCACGTGACACGACGGGGTACCAAATGGCGGGGATGCTTGACCGGAAGCCTTCAGCTAAACAAGTCGACTTAAACAGTGGTGGTCAGCATCCAATGAGTGATTACTGTGGTCAATAATTTTGGGGAATTATTTACCGCTACAGCTCACTGCCCCCCTGGTTGGGTCGTGAGGACCCTAAGACAGAACCAGCCGGAAGTAAAAAAAAACTCGATGGTTCCCTTTCGGGTGAAAAAAATCTTCCGATCGGCTTGGTGGTATGCCTACTGGTTTGTCTGCCTATGCTAATAGGGTGTTTGTACATAGCTTCCTTGTTGTTTTTCGTTGGATTCCGTGCTTCGTTTGTTTCCTGTCCAGTGCCCGTCGCACCTGGAAAAGAAAACAAGAACGCTGAGAACCATGTCGAGGAAAATGTACGAAATGAGCTTTTTGGTTAAAAAAAATGATGTGCATTTACTATACAGTAAAATAATGCTAAGTTCAGAACATCGAGAAAAAAATACATCTAATTAATTTTTTTGGTGTATGCTACATGAACTGTTGAGAAAAAAATTTTTGTGTTCAGTGGTACTGTATATAAAAAAAATTGATACGTCAAAAAAAATAGTCAGTACCACAAACGAATGAGTTGCGTGAGTCACACAACTTCGTTAAGTCAAATAGGTGTTCAGATATTCTGGGAACATTAAGGTGCGTCCAGAATGGGTTTTCTTGGGGGCTCAACCTTAGTAGCTAGTGGGCGAATGCCCTTGCAGTCAATAGTGTGACCCAGGAAGTCGAGTGAGTCAACACCGATTTGACACTTTTGAATATTAATGGTAACACCATGTTGGCGTAACCTTTCAAATGCCAAGTCCAAGTGCCTAAGGTGAGTTTCCTTGTCTGAACTGGCAATGAGGCAGTCGTCTAAGTATGCGTATACAAAGTCGAGACCGCGAAATACTTCGTCAATGAAGCGTTGGAATGTTTGGGCTGCATTCCGGAGACCGAATGGCATACGTAGAAATTCAAAAAGTCCGAAAGGCGTAGTGATAGCCGTTTTCGGGATGTCTTCTGTTGCCATCGGGATTTGGTTATACGATTTTAGAGAATATAGTCGCGCCAGATAAGGTTGCCGTCAAGTAGTGTATATGAGGCAACGGGTAGCAATCAGGGGTTGTTTTGGCATTCACTCTCCGGTAATCACCGGTGGGTCGCCAATCATTGCTATCCTTTTTCTGAACCATGTGAAGTGGGGATGCCCAAGGGCTATTCGAAGGTCGAATGATGCCAAGGGTAAGCATATGGTCAAATTCATTCCTGGCGATTCTCAGTTTGTCAGGAGCTAATCGTCGTGCTTTAGATGTCACAGGTTGTCCTGTGGTAATGATGTGGTGCATAACATTTCTGGTTATGCACGGTAGGTCGTTCGACGGGCAATTAAGTTCCGGATACTTGTCAACAATAGGTTGAAAAGTTGGATCAAGGATTGCCTTTATCTTATCGGGTGACAAACTAGGGCCTATGTAGCTGATGCCTTTGATAGACAGACTAGTAGTATTGTCAATCAGTCGTTTTCGGCGGACGTCTACGAGTAAATCATGATGATTAAGTAGGTCCGTGCCAACGATGGGCATTGTAACGTCAGCGAGAAGGAAAATCCACCGAATAGGTTTGCGTAAACCTACGTTCAGATAGACGTATTTTCTACCAAAGGTTGAGATTGGTTTTCCATTTGCAGCCTGTAAGTTGAAGGTAGGTTTCTTCTGTCAATCTGACGCTGTAGCAGGAAGGACGCTGACTTCGGCGCCTGTGTCGACTAAGTATCGAGTCTGGCCTATCACATCATGGATGTAAAGAAGGCGGCTAGTGCCACCGGCGACGGTTGCCGCTAACGCGTACCGGCGGGATAGTTTCCCACAAACTTTGATACATTTCGGAAGTTACAAGGCTTACGGCAGCATTTCGCTTCTTGGCCATAGGTGTTGTGGTACCAGCACCAGTCGGGGTTTTTCAGTGAACGTGGTTTGGACTTAGATCGACCACGTGAGTTCCTGCGTTGAGGAGATTTAGGACGACGGTCGGAGTTAGAATGCATGTTTGACCGAAACATCTGTTGGATGGAGTTGCATAACTCTATCATTGCAGAATCCTTACTCGAAGTCTGTTTAGTCATCGAGCATATTCCGGGAACAGACCGTTTTGTAATCTCTAGAATCCTATCTGCAGTAATTGCTAAGTCCTCTATTACAGTACCCTGAAGTGTCACAAGTGCGGTCTGTACAGACTGTGGCAGCTTGGTTAAGAAGAGTTCTCTAGATAGTCCTTCGTCGAACTGACTTCGGCCGACGATTTATTTCATTCTTGTCAGCATGCTCACGGCTGACTGATCTCTTGTTTGTTATTGCCACTATCACCATCTTAAAAAAAATTTTGTATGATGCATGATTCCTCACACTACCACTACAAACACTGCATTAGTGCTGACAATAAAAAAAACACAACCCTAAAATTGTTTATTTTATGATTGTTTAGTGTTGTTCAATCAAATTAACTGATCATCTTGGCTATAAACATTTTTAAGAACATCTCATAATTTCTTGTATGATTATAGCTGTTACTGTTCACCACGCATACACATATCATAGCTTCCACTAACCAATACTGAAATATTTTTTCATTATTTGTGTTTATCTTCCTTTTTACATGGTATTTTTATTCGCATTATTTTTGTTATTTCTGTGTTCCTTTTTTTTGTGTTTTGTTGTTGTTGTTTTTATATATATATTTTTTATAATACTCCTTTTAAATGTACGATGAAATTAGATGCAATATTGTAGATATGTGCTGAAAATTCCACACTGTACCACAAGTACTGTTTCTGGAATAAAGCGAAATTTTTATTGTTATTGTTGATCTCCTAACTCGATGTTACGAAATAATTCATCCAGACTTTGTCGGTCCGTGAGAACGTTTCTCCTGAGGAGGGATGCTTTGAGCAACTCGTACGAGCTACTTACCTCGGGACTGAACATCTGTGATGTTACGTACTTTCTGAATTCGCGCGGTAGGGCGTGAATAACTGCAAGTAACTGTGAACGTTGATCGGTTATCCCATGCTGACAAAAAATCTGCTTCAGCTAGCAGAAACCACGTTTCAGCATTATCTGGCCAGTATGGTACGAGCTGAATGGTTTTAGGAGTTGAGCCAATACGGATGACCTTGGGACTAAGATCACTCATGACGAAAATAATGTCGAATAATATATGGTACAAGAACAAATACAAAATGGAACGAACTCACCGGGGTTATCTGAGGACTTATCGTGGATGAAGTTCGCGGTTGGGCTCACCAGTTTAGAGGGTTGACGGAATTCTCTTACACAGCCTCTGAATTATTCTTGCGTACCAACAACAAAGCAAAAGCCAATATTTGATCGTCCAAACTACGTGATATATCTAGGGACCAAAACAAACCGTCAGACGAACGCTTAGCTGGCTAGTGATCGTGCACGTGACACGACGGGGTACCAAATGGCGGGGATGCTTGACCGGAAGCCTTCAGCTAAACAAGTCGACTTAAACAGTGGTGGTCAGCATCCAATGAGTGATTACTGTGGTCAATAATTTTGGGGAATTATTTACCGCTACAGCTCACTGCCCCCCTGGTTGGGTCGTGAGGACCCTAAGACAGAACCAGCCGGAAGTAAAAAAAAACTCGATGGTTCCCTTTCGGGTGAAAAAAATCTTCCGATCGGCTTGGTGGTATGCCTACTGGTTTGTCTGCCTATGCTAATAGGGTGTTTGTACATAGCTTCCTTGTTGTTTTTCGTTGGATTCCGTGCTTCGTTTGTTTCCTGTCCAGTGCCCGTCGCACCTGGAAAAGAAAACAAGAACGCTGAGAACCATGTCGAGGAAAATGTACGAAATGAGCTTTTTGGTTAAAAAAAATGATGTGCATTTACTATACAGTAAAATAATGCTAAGTTCAGAACATCGAAAAAAAATACATCTAATTAATTTTTTTGGTGTATGTTACATGAACTGTTGAGAAAAAAATTTTTGTGTTCAGTGGTACTGTATATAAAAAAATTGATACGTCAAAAAAAAATAGTCAGTACCACAAACGAATGAGTTGCGTGAGTCACACAACTTCGTTAAGTCAAATAGGTGTTCAGATATTCTGGGAACATTAAGGTGCGTCCAGAATGGGTTTTCTTGGGGGCTCAACCTTAGTAGCTAGTGGGCGAATGCCCTTGCAGTCAATAGTGTGACCCAGGAAGTCGAGTGAGTCAACACCGATTTGACACTTTTGAATATTAATGGTAACACCATGTTGGCGTAACCTTTCAAATGCCAAGTCCAAGTGCCTAAGGTGAGTTTCCTTGTCTG